AAAAACGAAGCACACACAAAGTTATATAAAGATGCCACAAAGATACATTTGCCGCAGGCGGGATAACCACACACTCACACACACTCACACACACACTCGTACACATGTATGAAACAAAAACTTCACACTGCACAACAAGAGTGTAAATTATTTTTGTGGCATAATTAAAAACTCTGAGGAAGAGAAAGAAAATTTATGGGTTTGTTAAACAAACGCTATCAATAATTATCGACTTAATTTATCGATCAAATAAAGTATGTGCCGGGAAGTTATACAAATATTTAATTTCATTCTTTTACCTTAAGAAAATACAATACGGAAATGTATTGGCAGATATTATTTTAAGGCAATTCAAATCTACATAATAATTCACTTGATGCTGGTCATTAGGATTAATATTAATAAAGGCAAATGAAACAAGAGAATAGAGGAAGGAAACATATATTGCGAAAGTTGGTAGATAATATAATCAAAGTAGAAAAGATTCTTCGCTATGACGAAACGGAATTCTACAGTCTAGATTCCCTAAGAAAATGAAGAATTATCATTATTAAGAATGGGAGAAAAAAATATTGGCAAATTCGATCGAGTTTTATATAAATATTTACGTTTAGTGATAAGAAATTCCAAATCAAGATATTCAAGTAGACCACATTTTGCAGTCTGGCGTAACAGAAATTACAAAAAAAAAAATTTCCAATTCGAATTCTACGTCTAGACTCCTTAATAACATGAAGGATAATCAAGTCAATCGGTCAGAAAATTTTTTTAAAAATTATTGAATCTTGAATAATATTAAATTCATAAAACGAAAAAATATAATCAATAAATAAAGTCAAATTTATTCATTACAAAATGAATTCACGTTGCCAATAGAAAGTGAGGAAATATTTGATATATTATAGATTACAAGCTAAAAACTATGCATTACAAATTCAGCAAAAAGGGTATATAGAAATCAAAATTTTGGTATAATAGGAATGTCACTCTCTCTTTTTTCTCTTTTAGCAAAGAAATGTCAACTTGAAATCAATTTGAGTCTCCACAGAGAAACCCAGATTTGCATCAGCTGACAAATCATTTTGGCTTTGACAAAGTTATGAAAGTCAAAGATCTGAGACAAACTCTTTTAACACATTTGCTAATGTGGGCACAGCTGTCAAGTGTTGAGGTCAAATCAGAAATCTGAAATCTGATGTGACTGCCGTTTGCAGCATCAAAGGCAATTTTTTGTTTTTGTTTGTTCCTTTTTTTTCTTTTTTTTTCATGTCGAATGTTTGATGTTTGACTCCCAAATAGAATCTTTGGCACAATCTTAATTTGGATAAGTGCAGTCTTTCACAGCTGCAGCAGGGAACTTCGCACATATTTCAGATACTAAACCGATGTTCGATGTTATTGGATAATGTTCTTGCCACATAAACTGGTCAACTGTGCGTGTGTGTGTGTGTGTGTGGGCTGTGCTTAACACGCCATTGAACTGTTATGCAACAACAACATATGTGTGTGGCCCCCTGGGCTGCCTCGCCACCCCTCGCCCCCCCGACGGCTGGACAAATCCCATTTGATGTTCACTCAGCAGAAAGGCAACGCCAATGAAGCATGCAAAAGGTATTTCTGTTTTCGTAGCGCGTTCCACCATCCGCCCCTCCCCTCTCACACGCTGCCCTCCGCCCCCATTCCACTCTCTCAATCTCTATCTCTCTGCTTGTTTCGTTTGCTGCGGCTGCTGCTGAGATTTTGGCTTTGTAACTCAAAATCGACAAGCAGCAGCAGCAACAAGGAGCAAATGTGCAAACATCATGAAAAAAAAGCGCACGAACAAAAACAGAAGAACAAGAAAATTCGCCCAAAAAATAAAACAAGCAGCCCAAAGACAAAGGCCATGTGGTTGATGTACCAGGTGCACAGTGGTCGAAAATCACTTAATAGACTTTCAATTAGGCCAATTACTAAGTTTATTTAGACAAGTTGCAATTTATTGATATTTAGGTATTTTTAAGAATTTTTACTGGGAATTTTTTGTAAGTAAAGTAAGTGTAAAAGTTTTCTTTCTCAAGAAGAGCTTCGATTGCGTAATTGACAAAAGATAGGGCTAGGCGGTAAGAGTCTAGGGCTTTCGGGAAATATAGATATATGGATGGTTCTTTAGAATTGAAGAGCTATGACTTGGCTGACGATATTTCGTCCCTAAGCACATCGTTCGCCAAATGCATTTGCCGAGTGTTCAAATATAAAGTTAGAAAACAGATCATGAAAGTGACTCTGTAAAATTATTGAAATGGAGTATAGTTGGAGCTATCTATAGAGCTCTCCAGAAGTAAATCTGCAAGGTCTGAAAATTATGATTTATTAAAACAAGTAAACATCTGCACATTTTTATTTTTTCTTGTTTATAAGACTTAATTATATTAAATTAATAATTTATGATATTTATATTATACTTGTATCTGTGTCTATCAACGTTTCCCATACTTTCAAACCACTGTGCAACAGCGGAGCTATAGACAAATTTTCGCCACACATTTCGTATTCGTGGGCTATTTTATTGAACTTTAATTCATTGTGCAGCAGCAGCAGCAGTAGCAGAAGTGGCAGTAGCAGCAGCAGGAGTGGCAGGAGTAGCAGCAACAGTCGAAATGTGGCGCATAAATTCTTTTTACTTAAGTTGCTACTTTGTGCGATTGCGATTGTGATGGCGATGTTGAATGTGGCTGCGGATGCAGCCGATGTCCGCGCTTCCGCCTTTTTATTGTAAATACGCGTAAGCAGCTGGCAAAGCAGGAACAGCAGCAGCAGTAGCAGGAGCCGCAGCAGGAGGAGCAGGAGCTGGAGCTGGAGCAGGAGCAGCTGTAACAGAAGCTGTTGCCCTTCAATACAATGTACATTGTACATTGTCCATTGGGTCATAAAATGGCTTCCGGTTATGCTTGAAGTGAGATTAACTTGTCGTTCGCAATTTCTCTTTGATTTGTTTCGTAAAATCGAAAAAGGGGACGAACTCAGCTAGGCGAGGGGTAGCCAGCGAAAGGTTGAATTGTTTTTTCTTCCTCCCCTTTCTTATTATTATTTTTTTTTTGCTGTGTTGCCTGTTGCTAGCCTTCGGTTTCACTTTTATCTTTCACTCTAGCCCTGAGCGCCCCTTAATATATTTATAGATCCGCCTCGTTACTTGATTACTTGTAACTCCACCAAATGAAGCGTGTGAGTTGTTCCAAAAATAAGCAAAAATACAAATTAATTTGATATGGCTTTAAAAGTTGGCCTACGACAAGTTCGTTTGGGCTTAAAACTTAACGCCCAGCAAGCGTTTGCCTAACTTCCGCAACATTTGTAGACTTGTGTATGGGGTATGTCCTTTAAAGAGGACCTTTTCTAGAACTAGAAGAACTAGAATCATTATACAATCGTTACCAGGATATATATTCGTCGTTTCGACTGAGTTCATTATTCTATTAAAGACTTACAGGGAATTTGGGTCGTTGTTCAATGTGAAGCCTTTACGCTTCGGTCCACCCAGAGCCGTCGTAATTGTTGTATTCATGTTGTTCGCCAATTCGTACAAATTGATTTACAACGATTCATTTTGCAAGCAGCTGCTAAACTGGAGCAGCCCATTTCGAGTCTCAGGTGTGAGTTTTATTTGTTCCGAAATTGTTTTATGCTTTTTTTTTTTTGTGTTTTGTTCGCCTTTCGGCTTGGACAACAACACCCAGGCCTCCCATTTACAGCGTTGCCTGGACTCTAATTCGACTGCGGTTCATAGAAGTCTGCTCAGCTTTCACTTTCCAAAAACACACACTAAAAAGCAGCGAAGCGCTGTAGCAGGCTATGCCTGACTAGCAAATATCCTGAATTTCGAGGTGAGCCAAAGATAGTGGCTAAGCGATGTAATACTTGGGGTCTGCCTATGATTGAAGAGCTGTGCGTCAGATATGGAAGTGTATAAATATCTAGAATTTCTATGTATATGTAGACCCATACATCTATGTATATCGATAAGGTTTTGAGAAATGTTATCGATAATTTGAAACATATTCGAGCTGAAGAAGGAAGAGAGCTACATCGATTCTTGATCAGAAATATATATACTTTATGTTCTTTGCCACAGTTCCCTCCAGCTGACAAATATATTTCACGAAAAATAGCATACCCCATGCACTATATTCAGCGTATTTTAAAGCAGAAATCTGGCACAGGACGGGGCAGACCACTGTGCAATTAAGCCGCGCAATCAGAATGCAAGATGAAGGCTTCACTCCTTTAACAATGGCGAGCCTCGTTGACAAAATGGCGACCGCAGGCTGCAAAGCCAACAAATGTGTTGCATAACAGACGTCGGCCCTTGTTGTTGTTGCTGCCGCTGTTGTGCTGCTGCTGTTGGATTACACTTTTAGGTGCTTGTTGGCTTTGTGCTGGCTGTTTTTGTTGGCTAAAAGCGCCGGAATTGCCCCGCATTGCCCTGGCAACTGTCAGATCCCTTAGCGCAAGCAGTTCCATCGACATTTTAGCTGTCGAAATATTTGACCGAGCCATGAAAACGTTTCAGTGAACGCTGGAAATATTTCCAAAATCCTTTGTTTCAGCTTCACTGATTTTTCGATTGTGTGAAAAGGTCTTTAAAGTGATTAACAATATAATATAATACTTATAAGTCAATATGAGGCTTTAGGTAATTTTATGGCCTTAATCTTATAGTGTTTCAATAATAATAATTTTAGTTATGATTTCAAATAGTCATTGTCATTGTCATTGTCATTGTGATTGTCATTGTCATTGTTATTACTAATTCAAATAGTATACCCCACGTGAAATTAGACTAGAGTCATGCTAAATTCTAATGCCATGGTAAATTAAATTAGCTAAGTGCAATTATTTGACTCTTAGAAATACGAAAGAATAACTCTCTCCCAACAGAAAGGAAAATGAGAACTATGTCGAATTATTATATATATAATTTAGATGATTATTCTGGTTATATTTCAGTTCTGTCATAGCACTCGATTCGCTATGAAAAGCTTTTCCATATTAATATGCGGTAAATTGAATTTAAAAAAAAAAAAAAAACCTTCATTTTGGTTGACTCTGTGCTCAACTTTCAGTCTTTGTGTTGTATGGACTTGTCATCTGCGATGATCAGTCCTCGGAGGACTACGAATCTGATGAGCTGAATGAGGGATATATCAAAGCTCGTACGCGAAACACTGTGAGGTCACTTGGACGTGGACGTGGACCAATGGATCCTCCGGAGAGTTATTGTTGTTTTTGGATAAATCAAGATCATCCTGCTCTGCCTGATCCCTTGGATCTTAATACAGATTATCCATTCGACTTTGTATTAAATGGAAAGATCTGGGCAACTAGACGACCCGTTAAAAGCCCTTCAACGACCCGTTCAACGCATACTTAAAAATGTAAAGCAAAGCAAATAAAATTAGGTAATCTCTTGTGATTTTTAAGATTCTAGCAGAACGTTATGAATTTGACACTCTATAATCAGGGGCTGATCTGCGGGAATTCAAACACCAAAACTTGAACCTTGTGCTATTTGGTCATCAGAGTTGAAGCTGGTCAGCAGCAACAGCACCTTCTCTCCTGAGAGGAAAAGCTGCTAAGCAGTTTAGTATTCCTCTTTTCTGTTCATTTACTTAGTTAATTAAATTCCATTCGAACAGCAGAGGGAACAGCAGCTACAGGATGTGCTCTCGGCATATCCTGTTTGCACAACGTATTTCTTCATATCGTAGTTAAATAGTGCAATAGCCAAATTCTGTTTGCATTTAATCTGGATTTTTCTCATGTTGGCATCAGTATCAGCAGCAGCAGCAGAAACTCTCAAGTCCCATTGCATAATTCAGCTGGCTGAAGCTTGTGTAATTTGCTGCTTCAATGCTTAATGAAAATCCTTGAAAGAGATTTAAAATGTTCCCTCAGTTGTTTGGCACCTATTTGCGCAAATAAACTCCAGCTTCACATGCTGGACCCGTGAAATTGCATTTAACTCTCAAATGGAAGCTTTACTTGAGATGCACTCAAGCTCTGAGTGTGTGTGTGTGAGTGCTTGTGTGTGTGTGCTTAAGTGTGTGTGTGTGTGCTTAAAGATAATTTCCGATTGAATCGAATTGAAAACGGCAGTTAAAGCAGAACAACTCCAACTGCATTTAGATGTCCACGGGTCAGCTAACTGACCTTTGCTTGGTCATAAAATATTTATATTTTTTATATTTGTATATTTTAAGTCCAAAGGGAATAAGCTAGTAAGCTTTCTTTAATTTTATGCAGTTGCTACTTACTATCCATGCAAAAAGCTTGAAATGTCGAATAAGTTCTCGTCTTGCTTGTTTATAACATTTTTTAAAATCACTCAGCAGAAAAAAGTGTTTATTTACATTAAATTTTAGTGCTTAGTCAAGACACAATCCATTTGACGCACTGCGAGCAAATTTGCGTAACTATCGATATCGATGAGCTGTTATCGTGAGCAGAGCTGCCAGACGATCGAACAGCTGTTTTGTGGGTTTAGTTTTGCGCGCGAATTTAGGCGAATTGGTTTCTTTGTTACGCGTGTTTGTGAAACAAATAATTATTTAATTATTTAATAAATTTTATTAAGTGTACTTGTTAGTGTGTGTGTGTTTAAGTCATGTCTGTGCTATTGGCAGACATAGATGCCACCTGCGCTGCGCTGGGCGTCAGCGACGGCAAACGATACCAAGCGGAGCCCGATGCAGCAGACGGTTTAAAGGTAAAAAATAATACATACAAATGTTAGAGAAGAGAGCAAATAAAGTGACATCGCTGCACATTATTTTAGCACTTGATATGGATATTGCGTCGCGATCTGGACAATCATGAGTATCGGCGGCACTTGGGACGCGCCAAGGTGCTGCAGACGGATCTCGTTTATATGCTGCCCGATTATGTGCACGACGCGGAGCTATCGGATCTGTTGATACGTTTGTTGGTCATATTGACCAATCCGACATTGCTGCTGTATCGTGATGGGCCGCCCAGTGACAATCACGGGCGAAAAGTGTTCCTTGAACTCATTGACATTTTGCAGGGCTATAAAGTAGCCTTTGCTAAGGATAAAATATGGGCAGCCCTGTTTGAGAAGCTCAAACAAGCATTGGAAATTGTAAGTTAATAAACTTGTGAGTTTTGATATATCTATATGAAAATTCTGTATGTTCATAAGCTAAAGAACCGAAACTAACGCAAAACAGAAGCAACTATGAACGCAGGCGCAAGAAACTTAGGCGGTGGCTCCCACAGCGGCAGCGACATAGAGGAGGATGATTCCGTAGATAATCGTTATTATACCTGTTTGATTTGCATGCGCACGGCTCGTCTGCCACGTGTCACCTTTTGTGGCCATGTCTTCTGTACCGATTGCATCGGCAAGTGGATCACCTGGCAGGGCAGCTTCGCCAAGTGCCCCTACTGCCAGTCGCGTGTTGGCAATAATACGCTGATCACAGTCAGCTACGGCCGGAACGGACATCATACATACGGGCGCTTTGCACGCTGCAAGTCAATCGCCCAGCATCGTCACTTTGCCGAGACGATTGCCATGTATACCGCGGTGCCAGAGACATCGATGTATTTGGGCGCGTACGTTGAACGGCCGCCGGAGCTGATGCCACGAATCAAGCCACTGCCGCCGCAACTGTTGCGTGATGTGTCCCGGTATCAAATACGCCGCACCTTTGTCATGCCATCCATCTATCAACGCCTCATAATCGTGATCATAATATTTTATCTTTATAACGTGTATCTAGATGCTGACGGACCTGTTTAAGTCGAACTCAACTCCTTGTCAGTGGCGCGTTATTGTTATCTAGTTGCGATTGTATTTTATTTAAATAGAATCTCTTCGTCGAGAACCTGCTGTTGTTGTTATTGTTGTTGTATCTGATATGTCTTTGCTGTCGTTGTTAATTATGCCAATTAAATGAGGCTCGGGCAATTAACGTTCTCTGGCATTTGCACAACTATTTCTCTGTTATCTTTTATGCAGACCCTTACGACGACCATGAGCCCTAATATAACAGCGGTCTGCGCAAAAACTTTTTTAATGGCTCTCGTGCAGCTGCCAGCAGCGAATGAAGTTGGAAAATATTTTGCAAATGCCAGCTGCTTGGGGTATTCCCAATTTGTTAGGCAGTGTGTGCTCTATGCAGTAAATGTTGTCTAGGGGCTCTAGGGGACTTGGCATTACTGATGATGATTCTGAATATGATATGATATAAGGCTATCTGTAGAATCTTTTGTTCTCAACCCTGACAATCTGAGGCTTATTTGTGCTTTCTAAATATCTGAAACGTTGAAGCATTCAATACAGTTTTTCTTATAAGATCTAAATATACATATATGTATGTTTAAAGAGGACGTATACAATATATAATAATACATTTAAAATCATAAATATTTATAGATATAGATATATGTATATTGATATTATGTAAACAGTATACAATATTGTATTACAAATATTTAGATCTTGTATGAAAATGAATATTAAATTTCTAGATCTCAAATGAGCAAATCTCTTATTGATCTTCGCTATTTGCTTAGACCTAAAATTTGAATAGAATTCTTACATTTCATCAACATCAAACGTCTTGTATGATTTGAATATTGACTAAAATATTTAAATCTTGTAAGTGCATTTCCTATTCGGCTAGCTCAATCTCTTCTTGTTTTGGCTTGTGTTTCTGGCACTGAGGCTGACTTTTGGACTTCTTTCCCGGGGCTTCCTTTGTGTGTTTCATAACTAATTTGAACTTCATTTACTATCTGTTTTTCATCTATGGCTAAAAGTCATTCAGCTAGATATTTTTTTCTTTCCCATCTCTGTGTCTCTATCTCTCTCTTTTTTTTTCTCTCTTTGTAACCCTTGATTGTTGATTATCAAGTGAGTTTTTAAATTTAGCTGTTCTTTGAAGTTGCTTCGACAAAACGTGCTCGAAATACGAAAATGCTCAGAATAAAATTTAATTTCGTTCAAAAATTATATGAAATCAAATCGACGCCCAAAACTTTTTCGCTTGACGCCCAGGCTAAGCCGCAACAAGTCGAATTTAGAGATAAAAATAACAAAATAACAAAACAGAAAAGTGAAAAGGGAAATGCGTGAGGCCAAGTGCCAGCAGGCACCTTCAAATCAAACGCAAAGAAATCTGTGGTTTTTCTAGGCGTCATCCACATGCTCACTGTCACAGTGGGTGCTAACCACAAACTCCCAAACACCAACAACAACAAGAAGCACAAGAAAAACAACTGCAAATTTCTGTTTACAATTTGTAGTATTTTGTGTGGATGAATATGTCTGAGCATGAAATGTTTTCAATTGCTAAATTGTAGCCAAAAAAGAAGAAAAAAAAAGAGAAGTATGAAAAAATACGAAATGAATACACAATGAATTTCCCAAGTAAGAGCGAGAAAAAGAAAAGCACGAAAAATGGGAATCAGCAAATGAAAAACTCCCACACATTTTAGCCAGCGGCTGGCGCTTAAGTAGACCCAGCAGATGGAAGATTGCGTTTAAGACTTTTGTGTAGGAGCAGCAAAAAGGAAATAGAAAAATCATTTGACTTGCATCTTTAATGTTGAATAACAAAGCCGAAGAACTTTTCAGTCCGAGAACTTTTAATTGACACTATGGAAGCAAAAGGACTCTCAATAACTTTGCTATTTTTGTTTGGTAGATGCATTCTCTAAGTGATTAGTTTTTAGTTTTTTCTTCTTAAGATTTCAGACATGAACAATTCCATCTACTTGCAGCTGGAAGGTATTTCGAAAATCAATACATAGATAGATGCTGCGTATACAGCTCACACAATTCAATCAAAGCTGTGATCGCATTTCCTTGCTCTCTTCAATGGGCTTTATTAGCATAAAAGCTGCCATTTATTTTGCTCATAAACGAAGGAAATTCTGAGGATTTCGTCTAATTCCTGGAAGCAATGAAAGTAAAAATCGTTTTTTTTTTTTTTCACGTGAACTTCGAATGTGGCCTGAAAAATTGCGGAAAAGACTTGGCAACCTATTTCAATTTAATTTTTGCTTTTAATTTCACAGTTATTAAAAACGTTTAAAAGTTTGAAATTTTTTTATGAACGAGTATTATGTTCAGATTGAAGTTAGGAGCTGCTTTAATAGTTCGGATTGCAGTTAGAAGCTGGTTAAATACCTTAAAAGTTCGGATTGAAGTTAGGAGCTGGTTAAATGCTTTAAGAGATCTAGCAGATTTTATGTATAGATTAGTAAAGTGCTAAATAAGATACATACATTCATGTAAATATGTACTTATACCTATACATATACAACTAATCTACAGTGTGTTGATAGAAAATATCCTGAAATACCTGAACATTAATGAATTTAATTTAATTATTTAAAGCAATTGAAATTAATTAGTGCGAATCTAAATAAGCTAAGCCCATGGCCAATTTATTTATTATTTATTTATTAGCACGTATTTCATGTAAGCATATTTTTATAACGTGAAATTTCGTAAATTGAGGGAATTTTTTAATATAGTATGTTACATAATTCTATTATGTTATATACACAGTTAAAACTACATCGTTGTTTACAGTTATTTTTCTATAGAAATTATCTCTGGATTATGAAGCTCGTTTTTTTTTATCACACATATCTATAGATACTTTGCTATAGAAATATTATTTGTTAGACCGTATATGAGCAGGAATGCAACGTGCAGTTGCAATCAAGCAATCGCCATAAATGTCATAAAATATATATAACTATATACATATACATACATATATCTGTATATATATAATGTACAAACTTTTGCCGCTGGTCTCTTAGCGAGCTCCATTGGCAATTATCGGGCATTGATGGGGTACAATTTTTAGTAACCGCGCAGAAATGTTGCTGATGCTGTATAATCGTAGATGCAACATGGCAACGACTACACACACACACACATACAGACACTAACACACACAGATACACCCTTGGCCCTGCCCTTGAGCGCTGCTTGTGCTGGCAGAGCGAAATAAATTCATTTAAAGCCGATTGAATCGACATTCATAACACTCCGGGGAGCAATTCCAAAGGATTTTCATGGTGCTGCGCAGCCAGCGAAAGAGTCGCCAGAGGATTTCTTTAGATTTTTATGCCCGAGTTTTTTTTGTATTTTTATTTTTTTCATTTTTTGTGTGTATTTTTTAGCAAACGCTTTTTTAGGTTAAATGCTAGCGAATTTCTGTCTCTGTGGCTGTTGTTGTTGGTGGTGTTGTTGTTGATAATGAATGTGTGGGTGGGTGAGTTGTGTGGGTTGGTGCGCATGGTTTGGAGCTTCGATTCGACTGCCTTTGGCTGTCGGTTGCCCGAGCTGACTTTTTATGCTTTACTTCCTTATTTGCGTGGCTTCGACTTGCAGGCTTTGATGTATGCGGCTTGGTGTGGCAGTCAAGTGGACAGCCAGGGGGCAACAGAGAGAGCGAGAATTGGCCAGGGGCTTGCCGCTGCCGCTGCTGCTGCTGCTGCTGCCGATGTTGTTGTTGCGTAGGGTAACCAAAAGCGGAAGTCATTATTAACTTTGGCCTTTGTGTAAGGCGCTGGGTCTGAGCTTTTCGGTTGCTGTGTCCATGTTGGCATGTAGGAGGAGGACGAGGAGCAGGAGCAGGCGCAGGAGCAGGAGTCGCAGTCACAGCTGGCTTGTAGGCACAAAAGCCGCATTAGTTGTATTTATTTGTAAGCCAGCAGCAGTAACTGCTGCCTCTGCCGCTGCTGCTGTGCCTGCTCCTGCTCTTCCTCCTGCTCGTCTTTCCCTCGTCTGGACCCACACAAATTGATTTCAACTTGACTTTGTTGTGGTAGCATCGCTTCGACTCGGCTGCCGCTGCTCATCTCGGAGGCCCCCCCCCCCCCCCCCCCCCTATTTCGGGGCATCCGTTTTACAGTCGAGCTACATAAATTTGCAATTTAATTTAATTTAATTTCATTTGATTATTTTAAGTTGACTCGCGGGATTTGCTGCTTAGATTCTAACACTGGGATTTGCCGCAAGACATTCTCTTTATTATTTTGACTTTTAATGTACTTCCCCCCTCTCCTGTTCGTTTCTCTTTTGCAGGCATTCGCCATACGCAGCGAGGAGCAGAATTTGTTGATTGAACGCATCCTGGTCCTGGTGCGCAATGTGCTCCAAGTGCCAGCCAACCCGGAGGCCGAGTGTCGAGCGGATAACGATGCCAGCTTGCATGATCAAGTCATTTGGGCGTTGCATCAAACGGGCATGCTCGACCTGGTGCTCTTCATAATCTCCTCGCCAGATGAGGAGCAATTTCATTTGCACGGACTCGAAATCATTTGCCTACTCTATCGCGAACAGGTGAGTCGCATTAGTAATTTCCCTTGGCAATTATCTATATAAGCTCTCTCTCTCTCTCGCTCTCTTGACATTTGCAGAGCGCCGAGTCCTTGGCGGATGCTTCGCTGCAGCGCAGTCTTACCGAGAAGCAGCGAGATCAGCAGGAGTTGCTCGCCGCCCGCCGTCGTGAGCATGCTCGACGACAGGCCCGGCCGCCCCTCGGCCGGCATTCCCGCTTCGGCGGCACCTATGTCATCCGTAATATGAAATCCGTTTCCGATCGGGACATCATTTGCCATCAGCCGCTGCAGCGCGTTTCGGCTATGGATTTTGATCGCGAGAAACAGGCGCAGAAGCGATCGCATCGCCACATCAAGGAGGAGGCGCAGGTGACGCGGCGTAGCGCTTTTACTGTTAGGTAAGACTCTTATATAGACATTATAATGAATAGATATTCATATATAGCAACTGGCACAGCCATTTCAGCTTTAATCATATGATTATTAATGAATTATTTTAAAATATTAATAAAATAAATAAATAATTCAGATTTAAATTAAATTGACAATTTTAGCATTTTCTTTATGTTAAAAAAAAAAAAATAATATATATATATATATATATATATATATATATATATTTAAAATATTTTACCTTAAATTAAAAAATATTTTATCAATATTAAAATATATTATTATAGGCATAGAAAAAATATTATATACACCTGATATATCTTTTTTATATATTGTTATTATATATTTTGTTTTCGGTATGGTGAAGATATTTTCAGAGAAAAAAGTTCACAACAATATTGATCGTAAATAATATTATATTTACTTACTTATGTATAACCAATGTTATTATTAACAAAAGAGATCGAATCATTTTTCACACTTGTTAAAGAAAGCTGAAAACAATGCAAAAATGTGACTTTGCCTTGTTTACCCAGCAAATCAATCAGACAGTCAGTCGCTGAGTCAGCAAAAAGAGTCATATACATATGTATTTGGTATACAGATATGTACGTATGTATATGTATTTGGATGAAGATTGGACAATATCTTGCACTTAGTAGCCTCCATTTGTCTGCGGCAGCTTCCTGCACTTTAGCCGTTGCCTATTGTGCGCAGCTCTGGATGTTGTCTGCCATTAGCATCGGAATTGTTATGGTTCGACTGGCAGGCCACATTCCGGTCATTGATTTTCGATTTTACGCTGCAGTCGGAGTCGAGCGAGCGCATAAAATAATATTCAATAATAAATGAAGGCATTTCCTTTTAGACAACTCGCACCCAATGGCTGCCTCGCTGGCTTTCCTATCCTTATAGAATCAGCCAAACGATATTGGCTGCTGGGGCTGCTTGAGGCTGCTGGAGGCTGCCCGGCTTGTTGGCTTGCCTCGGCTCTGGTTCTGGCTGAGTGGGCCAAGCGAAACAAAGAGGTGGCCATTTTCGAGGCGCCGGTTGGCCAACATCTTTGCTGTCGCCGCACTCCCTAATGGCCACCAGGTGCAGCTATTTTATGATTTTCTGCGAACCAACAAACTACTTAAAGGATATGCGCCAACGTTGCCCAGGATAAGTCGAGTTGCTTGAGTTTCGGCTTCGGCAAAATGCATTTGCCATGATACTCTATAACGCAGCCGGGTTATTATGGTTGAACAATACTTTTGTAAAACTGATTTGGATTTTTTCTATTAAATTATGAGCTCCTTTTTCAGATTGATATATAATTTGAATACTCAGCAACTATGTACAAATTTGTATTGATGTAATTTAATTGATTGATTGATATTTATGTCATAATTTTCTAAATTCATAATTGCACTGCTCCGTATATATTCACTAAAATAATTATAAATTATTAATTCAATTATTATCATTATTATTTAAATTTTTGTAGTATAATTTATAAATTATTAATTCAATTATTATTATATATTATTATTAATTATTATATATTATTATATATTAATATTAATTATTGTAGTATAATTTATTTTTTTTATTCATTAAATCTTATATAATTATTAAGTGTTAATTTTTAGCATTGAAAACCTACAATATATTTAATTATCAAATAATTAAGCAATTAAGGATTTTTTGTTTATTATAATTATATTATATATATAGATTATTTTCTAAATTGTTAAAATTAAATAATTAAGTTATTCTGTAGTAAGATATGATTAACACAAAGCTATGTTAAAATTATTATGTAATTACTTAGTACTTAAATAAGGCGCTTTACAAATTAAAAATATAATTATCAAGTAATTAATTGGTTATTAAGCTCATAACATTCGAATTTAAGGATGAACTATATTAGTTTATAATGTAAACATTTATATATTAACTGCTTAAGCCAGTTTAACTACGCCTAAAGTCTTTTTAAAGCAGAAATTCAAGTAATTATGAAGTAATTATCTGCCTTAACGAAGTTTGTAAATAGCCTTTAGAGCATCTTCCTCTCAACTATTGTTAACTGTAGTTGGCAGTTCTTGTTGTTGCGATTTGTCGTCCGGCAACCATAAAATGCCGAGCTAAGATAAAAATACAGCAGTGGCAGCGTAATCTTGGTGGCGCCACGGCAACGACACCATCGTAGTAAACCTCTGAGCTCTGCTGGCCATAGCAAATGTGCAAGCATTTTCCGCAATGTGGGCCAACACTTTTGCTTGTTAGCCTGGCCTAGCTGGCTGGGTGGCTGCATAGCTGGCTGACTGGCTGACTGGCTGCTTGGCTGGCAGCTGACTTCTGCTCTTTTCTGGCCTGTTTTATGGCCCGCTCGTTGTTGGCAAATCTAAATCGGCCTGGTAGCCATAAATTGCTCGCTCAGTCGGCGCGACGGCGACTGTGATTAGACAACTCGCTGGCCAAAAGAGACCATCAATAAGTTGGCTACCGCAACGAGATTGGCCATGCATTTGGCCAGCATTTGATGCACTCGGCAGAGCACGTGCCCCAAAGCCACCGACAAAGTTCATCAATGTCACGTGTCGACCCTCGACATGCAACAATTTGTTGCCACTCAACGCGTATTGCAATGTTGCAATAAGCCGCCAGGCGGCAACATTTTTGCTCTCCTTTTGTGTGTTTTTTGTGCTTCTCCTGTATTTATCTGCGTCGCCTGCGTGCCTGTGTTATCCTGCGGTTGGCAGTTGCCTGAGTCGGAGCCTGAGCTGCACAGATTCGGAGATGAATGCTTCTGCTGGGAGGTGCCTCCTGCACGGCCCACTTTACTCAAATAAATTGGCCTGCGAAAATTTATTGCATAAACGCTGCCAATTGCCGTTTGTTATGTACAAGCACTTGTCAATGCCGACACTGGAAAAAAATGGGGCCCGAAAGGAATGCACATATTGCACCATGAGCAACATTTGAATAAGATTCTGGAGTGACTTTGATGCTGACTATTATAGCTTTCGATAGCTTGATATATTGCGTAGTTTGTGCAAAGTCACGTTTAAGAAAAATGTATAAATATAACCAAAAGTGTGAGCAAAAATATAAATAAAATTTAAATAAATAAACCAAACAAATTATAAAAAAAATATATAATCAATAAAAAAATAATAAAAGGAAAAATTTTTAATAATAAATAAAATAATAATAAGTAAAATAATTGATAAAAAAAATAAAAATAAATGTACAAATTATTTATTATTAATAAAAATAAATAATAAATAAATTAATAATAAGTAAAATAATAAACAATATATCAAAAATAATAATATATAAAAATAATAATAAAAATAATAATAATAATAATAAAAAAAAAATACAAATTATTTTTTATTTATAAAAACAAATTTAATAAATAAATATTAACATTTATTTAAAAGCAAATGAAGAAAAATAATTGCATAATTGCATTAAAAGCTTAAAAGTGTATAAGAAACTATATACATATATTATATAAAATATATAGCATTAAACCCAAGTAAACAATAATAAAAAGAAACACATACACACACACACTAAAAACTAAACTAAAGCAGAATTAATAAATATAAAGTAAAGTAAAACATAATTAAATATTGATAATGTTAACAATATACAGAAATATTGTAAACATATGGACTGATTGACTAAATATTTTAAATAATTTCATTCGAGTTTTGTATGATATTAATTATTTTATACTGCCTGAAAATTTGAAAAGAAAATGCAGTGCATTAAATGCATGAAAAACTAGAATTTAAATTAAATGAAAACTGAATTGACTGAGTCAAGTCGAGCTAAGAATTGCATTTTACGTGTAGCATATAGAGTATATGTAGTTACGTGTGTGTTTATGTATGTGTATGTACTTGTGGCACTGGCAGTGGCATTCAATCAATATTATTGTGGTATAATCATTTTTCATTTGATTCCTCTGCTTGGCTTTCCTCTCCATTGCAGACTGTGCCTGCGCGAATATTGCATTGAGGTGCTGCGCTCCGCTTACAATACGCTCGTGCGGCAGGTGCGACGTGTCCTGGAACGCAATGCCGGCTCGTCGAGTCACGATGACTCTTATCTATTGTGGGCCATACGATTTTTCATGGAGTTCAATCGTTTGAGTGGACTACAATTGCAGCTAGTCAGGTAAGTAAGCGTGTGCAGTGCATGTGTGTGTGTGAGTGTGTGAGTGTATGAGCATGTGACTTACATTTGCCAATGTCAAATGCCAGCAAATATCTTGCCTCTACTTGGTTACATACTATGAGCTGTGCCCCACTAAAGCGTTCAAATTAATTGCCAATGATTTTGATAATGCCCATAAACCAAACACATAGACATTGTTGTCGGGGGAGAGAGAGAGATAGTTGATTGAGGAGCAACTGATGACTTTGATGAACGAGCCGAGTTGCATCCACTCTCTAATGAAAAGCCAACCAAGTGGTCAACTTGAAAACGCTCGCGTCAGCGAATATGCAAATCTTTTGGATGAACTTTCTATGGGTTGGCTTTTAATCAAATTACTTTGCACACACTCTTTCCCATATGTATAAGAGATTTTTATTTACTCGGGTCCAACTCGATTTGTTATTTTCTAGCCCAGCTGCCCAACAATGCAAGTGCTGAACTATAAACTAAAGCTGTATTGGTGTTGGTGCTAATCGTACATCGGACTGTGAGAGCGGGATAAAAGCAAGGATTTACACTGTGCATTGAGATGGAGAAGGGATGGGGAGTGAATATGAGGGAATATGGGGTGGAAAGAGGAAGAGAAGTTAGAAACGGGAAAAAAAGTGTAGAAGAGGGAGAGTGAGCATTTGCGACAAAATGAGAGAGAGAGGGAGAGAGAGAGAGCGACATAATGAAATATATATAAAAATAGAGAGAGAGAGAGAAATGTAGGAAGATGAAGAAGAAATGACAGAGAAATATAGGAGAGGAGAGAAAGAAAATGCAAGGGAACAAGAGAAAGACAGACGGAGAAAGCGAGAGGGATAAAGAGAGAGAGAGAGAGAAAGACCGATCAAGTGAGCAAGAAAGGGAGACAGACTAAAAGAACGGCAGAGAGGGCTTAAGAGTAAAAAGAAGTGACGAAAGAAAGACTAAAGCAAATAGACACAAGAGAGAGAGAGAGAGAGAGAGAGAGAAATAGAGAAAGAGAGAGGTAGCAAATGTACAGCTTATCGCCTTATTATAACCCACCCAACCCAACTCGGTATTCCATAATAAAGTTGCATTCCGATATTAAACCATTTGTCCGCATTTTCTATAATTTTGGCTTTTTCATTTTGCCCACCAGCACGACTTCCCATCAAATGAATCCCAGTTTTTTCAATCACTCAAATTGAAAATGGAATATGCTTCCAGTTCCCATAAACTGCCTAATAAATACTTTTCCAACCAACTGTTCGAAAAGCCAAAAGAATTTGTAGATGTTGCAGCTTGTGGCCCAAAACAATTTCCATGTGGCACAATTCGCATTTCGATTCGAATCGAAATTGTTTCAGTTGCTTGGCAATAGAAAGCTGAAGTTGAAAATTTGACATTGCTCTGGCCACAGGACAATTTGCCTGTCATTTTGTTGGATTACTTTTGGGGGCGGGGCGGGCGGTGCGGACGAACATTGAAAGAGAACAAGCGACAAGCAGAAATCAAAATGATGACGACAATCGCTGACCTATCACACTTTACAGCTGCGTGGGTGCCAACAAATCCCGCCCCAATACTTTATATATTTTATTTTTAGCTATATATATATATATTTATATATGTACATGTATATGTATGTGTTTAGTCCAATTGTCGCTTGACTATTTGAAGCATTTCGCTGGTCACTCGCCTTGGCTCTGGTTTTGGGCCACTTTATTGTTATACAGCTTTGCTGTTAATAAAATTTTCCTGTCATCTGCTCACTCTTTAGCTTTCTATCACTCTCTCTCTCTCTCTCTCTCTCTCTCTCGCTCTCTCTTTGTTGCTCGGTTGGCCAATGCTCGTTGTGCTGTGTGGTGGGAAATTTCTTTAAAATTGTTTTGGTTACTTTCAAATTAGTTTCTGAATGACAACAATGAAGCTTTGCAAAAATGTTGTCATTCCGTTGCTGCAAACTTTTCTCAACCCGCCCCAAAAAGAGCGAGAGAGAGAGAGAGAGAGAGGGACAGCAAAAAAAGAAAATCTGAAAGTAGCGCCGCACTATTCAAAGTTTTTGCCGCTGCTATTTTTCATTTTTTACCATTCCTTATCGTTCGCTGCTCCACATACATATATATATATATAGCTGTATATAGATATACATATGTATAGATATATATACTACATGTACTTCTCGTCGTCTAAAACTTTCTGTTTATTTCCACAAATTTGCCGCCGCCGCCTGCTGCTTTACCCAACTTACTTTATCGTCTGTCATTTTCTACTGATTTTTCACTATATATAAAGCTAGTGAATGACCGTTAAAGTGGCCAAAACTTCTGTCTACCTCCCTCTGTTTTTTTCTCTCTCTCTCTCTCTCTCTCTCTCTCTCTCTCTCTCTCTCCATATCAAACCCAACAACATAAAGAATTGCATTTATAATAAAAAGTGAAATCGAGTTTTCTGCCTTGCTTAGGCTTTGCCGTTGACCTCACATTTTCCGGCAAACTTTGTTGCCAAGAGTTTCCTTTTATACGAAGCATAAACCATAAAATTATTTTTGAACAGCAGCTAAGACTTATAATCAGATTGTCTGAAAATATATATATATATATATATATATATATATATAGATATATATATATATATATA